GAGGCTATCCTTCTGGGGTCCTTAAAAGTGGACAGGCATGCCACGGATTACTGTATAGCTATGGTTACCGCGGCTGAAACTCCGTAACTTATTCTGGATAATGTTAATTTTATAGGTTCCATCTAACCTCCCATCCTTCTTCCTCGCCCTCGAAAGCCAATGGCTTACCAAGGCAATGCTCGCAGTGTCCCGAATGCCAAGCCACCAGTCACGCGTTATCCCCAAATTGGTTTGAACACAGGACTAACTCTTGACGCTGTCGGCGCTCAAAATGGACCGAATATCTCCACCAGGACTGACGGAATTTAAAGGGAATGGCTGACTGAGATACCGCCGTGACTCAGGCCAAGATCAAACCCTAGCACGCCAGAGGATTTACGACTCCATTGGCAACGCAGCTATGAAACGCTGCTGTCGCCGCCGCCGCCGCCGCCGCCGCCGCTAAACGAAGCCCGAAAGGTTCTTAGAGGAAAGTAGAAGCCGATCACGCGTATAAAACTGATGGCCAGAACAACGTAGTTACCGAACAGAGATAAGCCGAGGTAGTAGACTGGCATGCTATGTGGTTGACACACGGCAGGCTTATGGAAAATTATAGTGTATTTTGGGATAGCTGTGCGAACAATGGAGTTACTTTCGATGAAACGTTGAAGATACTCGGCAGAAAGACAGAAGTGACATAAAAGCAAGGCATGCCAAGATAATACGTTTTTTCTAATAATCGGATCACAGAGTTTTCCATTATGTATCAAAGAATTGTTTTCCACACAGTCGTCCTCTGTAGGAGTTGTCTGAACACGGCCAACAAATTTAGTTGAACAATGCACCCGCCTATGTTAGGTACAAACATTGAGGTTTCCATCTCGAGGTTCTGAGTAGCGCTGCTAGAAGCATGAACAAATATGAACTATTTTATACAGTTATTGTGCAAAGCACTGCCACCTCGTGGCGGTCAATGTTTTCGGTGCCTGCCGAAGTGCGTAGCCACGACATACGGTGCTCGTCATCGAAAACAGTTAGCCAGAAAACAGGTCTTATGTTTCTGCTAGGATGAGCCGGCGTTGAAGGCCTTACCGAATTTCTAGATACGCATAATGTTCACATGGCACAGGCGAGAACACTTTGGGATTTACGAATCTACTTTGCGTACAATGACCGCCGCTTATGAGCTCTACTGTTTGCACAAGCGACCGACTGCGGGAGTGTTCATTATAAACACCAGGGGATGTTTCATCATCAGGAGATGTATGATTATAGAACATCATGTAAGAGATGTATGTAAATAGAAGAATCAGTTTATAATTCGTGGAGTGGTTACACTTGCTGCTTTTAAAGAGATCCAAACGGACCCACAGCCATCTAAATGTCGTAAAACGTTGGAAAAACCGCGATTAAGGAGTATGAAAAGAAACGCTGCGCTTGGTAAAATTCCGTTTTATCCCCATAACCGCTATTAGGATCTATATGGAAAGAATGGTTGAAAATCAGCCAGGTTTGATAAGCTGGCTGGTTACAATTTAGATCAGAATTCGCTAGCTAATGGGTAAAACACTAAGCGAGTTAAAACGAGGTTTTGTCTAAAGTTCTATCCATATCTTCATAAATCATTCGGCCTCTCGCGGCGAAATAGATTTCGTATCGTCAGTAGACCCTGTTGGTCATAGCAGGCAGCCTTCGTCGAGGGGTTTTTCGTCAACCCTTGTCGGCAATATCATCTTTAGATGAGGGAAATAGCTAAACAGCTACACGAGGATATCAACGTTTATACGCATGACCATGGCCAAAACCAGGGAAAACCACTGGGACCAGTATTTCATTCATAATTGGCAATACGCTGGTCCAGCCGAGTTGCCCTCGATTGAGCCTGTCTGTACAGGCTTATCTGCAACCTGTTATGGGCAAAATAGGCAAACTTCATGGGAAGGGTCTTGGAGGGACGATGGTGAGACAAGGGGTGAAATGGAACGCAGTCAAAGATGGGCGGGGAGCAGAAATCGGACTGGAAAAAGGTGCAAATATCGGAAGCCATCTGCTTTGCCGGAGGAAGGAAAAGGGTCTAGGGTTGTGCAAGTCAGCAATTTTGCGGTACCGCAGTGACATAAAACCAGCGGCAATGGAAACTGCAGACGTCGATTCATTTAGGATATCTGTTGCTGTTTCGGGCGTTCCCCGTGTTCCTCTCTTAGACCCTGAACCAGACGGCGACGGCCGCCTGACGACGATTCCCCGGGGCGAGAAGTGAACTTTGTGTAGGAGCCATTATTACTGTTACAAACCTAACGAGCCTCATAGACAGTGCTTCAGCACCCAGTCCTGTTCGCCCCGCTCCCTCGCGTCGTTCGCTGTCTTCACCTGGCTTTCCCGAGGACAGCTGCCTAAGTACCACCGGCTTCCTTGAAACGGTCGCACTCATTTTTCCTTCAGTGCTTCTCGACAACTGGCACAACATTTTATTAATTTTACGATCAATTTGACAGAGACAATAACGATCGTGTTGGCACTTGCCTTGCCAACAGAGAGCGTCAATTGCTGCTCCGTCCTATTCTCAAGCTTCTATGAAGAGTGAAGAGTGAGTAAAAGTCAACAAGGTTCGGAGAGAAAAAAACCCGCCGCAAGAAGATACAGTGCAAAGACCTATCCAATAACATGCTCTGTGCGGTATTCTCACCAGCCACGAAAACAATGTTTACTGGTAGAGATCAACATGATCGAAAGCTAAGGAAAATTCCGGCTGCTCGGCAAAACTCGAAGCCAATCAGGCCACTGGAGTGTTCTGGGTGAGGACCATTCAACGGACTACCCTTCTCATTCCATTCTGTTAAACCGATAAGTATGATATAGCATTCGGCTAATGGCAAGCGGCCTCTTACCTTTGAGTGAATCCTCAAATTGAAAGAGCGGCTGCACTGGTGGGATAGACGGCGAAGGTTTTTGAAAAGGTCTGAATTAAGTAATGAGACAGTAGTTACAAAAAAAAAATTCAATAGAGAGCTACGAGTCACGCTTAATGACAGATCCTGCTTTTAATGCGATATCTCCTCTAAGATAATTTAGCGAATGAGCAATAAGCAATTAGAGTATGAAATAGATTTAAGATATCTTTAATAAACAATGAAATTACGAAGCCTTAGGCAGTATACCATGTATACGAGGGTGCTCGATACAGGTGTGAATCTGTTCATGAAAGCACTGATATGTACTCTGGAGAATGAGCAAAGGAGAAGTAATATTACAACAATCTTTTCTCTTGTAGTCATTCAAAAAGGGCAAATCTCATATATATATATTTATATATGATTTCTTTTTTTAATCAGATATGTATATTACGAGAAAATTACATGAATCCGCACGTCTAAAAATATATCTGTGATGCACGATCAAATAATGTTTTGAGTTTTACCACCATAGTTGAGCATTGCTCCGCCTTACCATAGACCTTTCTTCGGTCGTTAAAGCAAGAGGGGACAGTTTGCACCCCTTTTCAGAAAAAAGTTTTGTCTGTCTCTCTACCGTGCCCCTTCAGTCGTTTACTTTGACAATAAGCCCACTCAACGGCGTACTTCTTTCACAGAACACGAAGAGACGGGTACCATTTGATCACTGAAGTTGAATTGCACTCGGCAGGCAGCATGTTTCACACTCCTGTGCATTTGTTTTTGTATATTGTTCAATCGAATAGATCGTCCGAACCAAAATAGCTTCCGTTATTTCTATTTCGGTTACAATCTGGAGAATTCCGTCCATTTACTGGGTTTCTTTTATTGTTCAGAAAAACAATGGACATTGTGCTTATTAAAAGCGATGACTCGTGCAGCACGAATCCAGCTCATAACTAGATCTTATGGGGGCATGTACTCTTCTATCATCGATGCTTCACTGAAGTCAAACTAATGTCAAGCAGATGACGATAGTAGAGCACTATGTTGCTACCGCTACGACTAAAGGTAGCGCCGTCCGCATGACCAAAACGAGACGTGGCATCGTCGACGGTTACGGCCATAGTCATTATTGCGAAGCACCACTGCTAGAATTGCGCATAGGCTGATAGATGCTGGTTTTTACTGGTACAAAGAACCACCAACGATAAAAAAATCATCGTTTCTATTTCGTTTTTCCGCCATCACTTCCCAATAAACATTCACCTAAAAACTGTATCTTGACACGTACCATATTACAATCATAGTGACCACGTAATGTTTTGCTCGCATTTCGGCGACGACGCATATACCACCGAACCATTCACAAATACGTGCACTCTGGTACCGAAATGTTTGTGGTAGCCTTTTTAAGTAGTAACTATACAGTGTATCTATCTATACTCAGTGTAGGATGCATACGGCTTTACAAATTTAACAGTATCCTGCTGTGCAGGATTTTGTTTAGTCTACCTATGACAGAATAATTAAAAGCGTAATTTCCGCATGTAAGTCCTATTACCTGAGGGAGTTTTATTGAGATTTCAATAGCCTATGTCGGTGACCATTGACAGGGCGTCGTTCAGTGGAATAATAGTGCATGAAGCAGGCGTAGAAATCAAGCGACTGATAGTATCACACCAATTAATGGCCGAAAACGTCTTCATCATTCTTATGGCGTGATTGGCTTCTACATACATCGATTTACTTCGGATCGCCACTTAACTTCTAGATGTTCTTCGCTGTGCGCGCGATCTGAGTGCGACTCCTGTCACAAGTTAATTTGCTGCGACGGTGGCAATTTTATGTATGATTATTACTCCTTAATTAGCTCATTTATCTACACACAACGGCTGGTAGCGACAATCTTGCAAAGCGGAGATCGACATTTTCTCCAAACGTTTCATGAAGGGCAAGTTGGCGGTTTATGTCGCTTCATCGTGTCTTTTCTGTTCGTCAATGATGATAAGCGGCTGCGAGTTTGTTCAACTCGACCCTTGTGTGCCATTGGTATCATGGCAGTGTACTTCTTATATATTATTCACAATGTTTGCGGTGCATTCGGTATTAGACAAGCTCATTATACGGTCTTTGCATTGTTGAAAATACTTATGTGATCCCCTCCATACCCCAAGAATGCATTTGAAACTGTCTTTTCGACATTGTCAGAAAGCGCTCCATATTCCCGCTCTTCCCGCTGCCTGGTGCTGCAAGATGCTGAATATTTTCCACACGTTCGTCCATCGGCCATATTTTTGTCCAAATGGAGTATTCCAAACATAGCCAATAAGATCAGACATATTCAACAGGCAGGAAAAATAGGAGCAAACAAAAAAGGAGATAGAACCAACGCCACAATCGACTTCATACGACCATTATCGCTACCATCATAATTTTTATCTAGATCTCGTTAGGCTACGCAGGGAGCAGCAGTAGTAGTAATAAGGAAATTTCAGCATTTAACTATGCGCGTAACGTAGCGACAGGAGACGCAGGTCCAGAAGCGTGTAAACAAGTGGTTGCCGAAGCCTTTCGCACCGAGCTCGAATCTAGCTGCTTTTTAAGCTGTCCTTTCAAATTCTTTTTTTTTATGAATCTCGGTAGAAAACAGGCGTCACACGAACCTCTGCTTTCGAGCTGGTACTCGTCGTTTTGGTTGACTTACTTCTTCGTTACCCCCTCACGCTCTTTCTTAAGAAGATCAAAAATAAGGCATTTTTTTGAGGAGATTTGCTAATCTCCTAATTGATTCTCCTATGTGCATCACAGGTTGATTTGTTATGGATTCACGATGGAAAAGCAGAGCAAGGAAGGGGGAACCTACGCGACCGATGCCTATCTCCTGGCACACATTGCGTTTGGCTACGGCCCACGGCTCAGTTCGAACTCCATTAGCCATGTTACGCTGCGTGGTTTCTCTCTTTGGGATGTTCGGACCCTCACTGAGTTTTTGCTTTCCACGGAACGTTACTAGAATATGCTGCGACGTACACACTCGCTAGATTATCAAGAAATTTGAATAGATAATAATGAAGTAAGAAGTTATTATGCATCCACGGGGTAGAACGGTCCGGAAGACGCGGTAGGTATATAGTGGTAATGCAATGTACAAGTATATCAACGCGTGTCTTTTTGTTGATGTAATACATGGGGCGTCGTAGCTATACTGATTGCACTGCGATTGATTTGAAGATGGATCATATTAAAACTTCACTCCTATGTGCCAAACCATGTGCAGATATTAACATATGTACAGCAATGGCTTATCCAGACAGGTGACGGTATTTGGGGGGCGAGCTTTGAGATGGGGGCTGGTGCGAATCTGGCAGTGGACATATATATAAGCAATTTATACGTCGATTAAGTTAGGCCTTTGAAGTACAAATATAGAATTAGGGGAACGAGGGCAAAGATAACACTTTGTTATATAGAGCACAGCTGTTATGACTGTCTGCCAAACGAAATAAAATACTTAAAGTTAAGTAATTTATAGATAATCGTAAGCTATGTCACTCAGCACGCCTGAATTGAATTGAAAAACTTGACAGTACACCTTATATCTCTTTTTTTCTATTAGACTTTTTTGATCTTCTATTTTTATTTTAACTTCTTATCACTAAAGCGTGCCTCGTGCATTTTTTTGCGTAATGATAGCCGCTTATCAATACAACAAGCATATAGATATGTAGTATTATATAAATACAATATAACGGTATATATATGTGCTAACACCTCTGTGACACTTCTTATACCATTTTATACAGAATTAGGTGTACATATTTGTAACACAAATCTACTGTACTCTAGTTACAATGCCATCCGAATCCTCCAATACATAAATACGTATGAGTTACAATCATTTAAAAAAAAGACGCGTAATTGAGAACATTACCGAAGCACATAGAATCGGCTGGTCAATTAGATACGACGAGGTTGCCTCAACTTCTCAACGAGGTTGCCTGGGCTAGACAGGCTAATTCTAATATCAAACAAGCCAGAGGTCGGATGGTGGATCGCAGGACCTTGGAGCTTACATAGCACCCTCTCATAAACATATTTAGAACCTATTTGGTTATGTTTACGAATAACTATAGGGTTTATCATAGCGAACCGGAGGTGGCAGGAAGATTGATGGTGCGTGGGCATTTTATCGATTGCCGTTACCGAAACGAATACAATGACCACCAGATCTTCCATTCTTCAGAGCCTACAGCAGTAGCCTAACCAGAATCAGATGATTTTCGAATGTTCCAAAGCAAAGGCTTTCGTACTAACACTCTTTTAAATATACACATCAATATGTACATTTAATGAAACATACTTCTTAGTAATGACCCGGTCTGGTGGGTGGGATACGGCAATGGGTTGTCAGCACATCATATCTATGCCACTGTGCGGAGATCTTCTTCAGGCAACGTAAAATCCGTCGAGTCCAATTTACAGAAACGCTAATGATTATCAGCTAACGAACCGAGGTAAGCAGGGTCATCCCGTCAGCGAACGACTCTAATAACCATAGTTACTGCTACGATAGTATGCCCCCCAGCATCGTTATCTCGTGTGTTTGCAGGCTCATATTTTCGCTTAAACCGTAAGCTCTGTTTCCCTCCTGTCTTTACGAGACAATTAAAGGAACACGGCTATAATCGATCTCGGTGAGAGACGGTTTACCTTTCGGACTCACTCACTCACTCACTCACTCTTTTCACACGGTCTATTTTATACTTTGTCATCACTCCAACTGTGCCCAGATATTAGAGTTAAACAGGAGCATTTGAACGAGGAAATTTACGTAGTTTTAAGATTATGTATACTTTTGCTGTGACCGTAACGTTTCTGAATAGCTGCAATGTTTATTTCTCTGTTCATTTTTACATTACTACTCTTTCGATACTCGTATCATAATGAGAGCATTTTATCTTACTTTATTTATTTACATAAAAATGACACTGACTTAAATCTGAACCAAGAACACAAGTTAGTTCACAGTTAGAAAATTAAGTTTTTGTATTATCTGTACTTCAATGTGAAATAACTACATTGAAAAACGTCTGCTTTTACCGTTCGATTTCTAAAACAGCGCATTGCTTTACAGTAGAAACCTAATTTTCGTCCCTTTTCTGTGCCTCTTCTGGACCGACGAATGTCGGAGGTGAAGCGGTGAAATAGAGAAGTATGCATGTAGGTCTCAACAAGCTGTTGGAAATTCTTACTGTGTAGAAAACATGAAATTTCTCTACATTGGGGCACACGACCCCTCATCTATCCAAAAAGAAAGGTAAAGTGATCTTGCCGATTAAGTATAGGCTATCAATGCGCAACGAACGAAGTAGCTTGTTCTTCCGTGATGATTCCTTTTTTTTGTTCCTACCTGTCGGCACATTCGGATCTTTGATTTTCCAGGATCCGCACGATGCTATCAGCCCTATTTCAATGCAAATTTCGCCCAACGCATGTTCCTCGACAAGCGGTTGTCAGCTATTCATCAAGTTACCCAATAACAACTAGCACATACAAAGATGGTAAAAAAAAAACCTTATTTTGTTTACAAACATCGTGTGCGGGTCTGGTGATACCGGTCTATTTTACGTATGGACACTTGGTTCGCTTGGAAGCTTTCTTGGCTGCTTGGACTTGGCTGCCATCCCGCTTGTTGTTTGAGAACTGTTCCTTTACCAATGTTTCTTCTTCCGAGGAGACCTAGTTCAATGTCGTAGCCGTTACGGGATTCAGAGACGAAGCTCAGACCAAGTTGTTCCCGTTGTCTCAGAATGCCGACCGTCACGTTCGTTCTCTACAGTTTGTCAGGAGAAGAAAATCGAGACGGCTGCGGTCAATCGTTCGAGCCGAAGACAGCAAAAAATAAAGAAAACACCAGTGAGCCAGCGTATGTTGTTCTAAGCTCTCATAGACGGATTAGTCAATCGAATGTCCAGTCATTGAAATCAAATTGATCTAAAGACAGGTTGTCTGTGGCATACCTGTACTACTCGAATAGCTGAATCAGCAAAAATTATATTTACAATGCACACGGAAATAACGCGAGGCACACAGCAGTGTACAAGGTCTATTCGGACAGCTGGCACTGTTGATTCATTCTAATAGAAAATGAGATATTGGGAAGTGAGTTCAAGAGACGTTGCAAAAGCCGAAGTAGCGCCGGAAGCAACAGCAGCGGCAACAATGTATTTTATATAATGCATATAGCAACGTACGGAAGATTATACGAAAAAAACACATCGTTTAACCTACATGCCTGAAGTGCTTCGGCGTATCATTGTTATCTATGTAGTTGCTCACCATGTCAGTCAATGGTGATTACTTTTCCCAACGCACTGAGAGGATGTACAAGCCGCTTAGCCAGGGGCAGGAGGAAGCATCATCATCAATAAGAAATGTCCCACGCCCTCCTAGTTATCTTTGTACATATGTGATGCTCATAATAGCGTACAACATCCTTGACGTTATCGTACCCTGTGTGCCAGGACCGGTAGCGGCACAACACAACGGTTTCGTTTTGAGCTTCCTTTTTTCACATTCTGTCTCTGACCTAGACATTCGTTCCCCCGGATCAAATCCCCAGAACGCCATTCTACACGAAGCATTCCTCTCCTTATAGCCATGCATCTGCTCTAAGAAGACATTTCAGTTTCACACCGGTTTAGGTGATTGGTGGGGACTAGCGTTACGAAGAACAAAACTACTGACGAAGCGACCGAGACAATGTCGAGGCTCCCTAAGGGTCGCTGGAGGGACAAGTGTACAGTACGTAGATTCACCTCCGGGTAAAGTGAAGCCGAAGAAGACACTAGTGATGGAGTGGCCATTGATTATGTGTAGGGAAGTTCCTTCTTCTATCGCTTTGGCAGCAGGCGAACGTGGAACCGCCTGTCTACTCTCTGTAATGTTTTGATTACGCCAGTATCATCTTCGTCATGCATCTTCTCGTTCTTTTGACTGCAAGCCGACCTTTCATCTACCCCACTAAACCCTCTACCTTTTTCTATCGTCCAGCCCATCCGTATATTGTACATCCAGTTCTCCTCAGAGTTATCCGCTCGTTGTTGTTATCGCCTTTTCTTAAATCTGCGTACGCCTAACACTGCGGCCGACCGACAAGAGGTCCTCCAAGCAAGTTAACCGGTGCAGCCGCTGAAAGACAGTCAGCCTGCGGCGTCAGACTACGCAGCGGCTTTAACACTGAAGCCACTAGAAGGGGTTCCGGAGGTCGGTTTAATGGCCCCTATATGCGTTGCCGCTGTCGTTTGTACCGGGGCCTAAAAATGTTGCATTACACTACTGCAGCCAGCGAATGTTAGATCCGCCTAGGGGTTCTAACGATAAGGCGGCTGTTGCAGTAGCAGCGTTAGCAAGCTTTCTCTGTACGAATACATTTAGGTTCCCGTTTTTTTCTTGCGTGTATTAGAAAACTTACGCGCCGCTGTCTGCGGCGCATAGCCCCGGTAGCAGTCCCGGCGGTAAAACCCCGTTACAGCAAAAAACGCTATGCCGGCTTACTTTGATTATAAGCGACAGTTGCAGCAGGACAGCAGCTAGGCACAAGAAGCCACCGATGCAGCTTTTACGCCGCTAGAAAGCCGTTATGTACAACAGCATCCACAACAACGACAATGGCAGTGACATGGAAGAAGAGGAGTTATAAGACCGTAAAGCTTCATGTGAATGGTGACGTTTTTGTTGTTGCTGGTAAAATCCAACCGCTAAGGCTTCTTCATCAAGTTGACACTTGCAGCAGTGCCCTGTCAAACATTCCTTCTGTACACACAAATAGACAAACATCACGAGACACATGGCACTTTGTCACTCGGCGGAGCGTCCACCTTTTCGCCTGTTCACCTTCATTGGACACACATAAATATATACACACCACCCACAGGGTATCTGAGGTGACATCAAAGTAGCTGCATTACGGCACTACATTACAGCAGCCTGTTCTGCCTGCGCCTAGCTAGCAGATTGAATCTAGTTACACTATTGAATTCCGGCCAGTTTTCGCGTTTCGTTAACCTCGTGTGTTGCCCATCCTGGCCATGAGGCAACGTACAACAACGAACAAAGGCTTGGGGAAATGAAACTATTCGGTGTCTCACTGAAATGATAGGCCGGCGTGGACCGAAAAAAGACAAAAAGGAAAAGACGATATTCCAACAAGGCGAGTACTGGTAACAGCAGCAGCCGTAATTTTTATTAAACTGATAAAACTAGTAATGAACGACGATACGATAGCGAATGTTCCTTCAATCAAAGATGAGTACCACAACAGAATGTCGAGGAAACACTAAGAATAAATTGACATCAGAGCGACATCTACTTTTTTTCTAAAAATTTCAGCTAATCTTGATATGTTTTACTTTTCAGTATGGTTACGAACAGAGCAGCTGATCTTTTTTCGAGCATCGTCCATATTTGATCGGCGAGCGCGCCAAGGGAATTCTGAAATTACTAGCACCATTCTGGCCGTCTTTCTCACTTCACCTCTGTGCTAGTTAACCTCTATGCTCCTTAGGCAGACGTGAAGTCCGTCGAACGTTGGTGGCTTTACCGTTAGTGAAAGCTCGACGTATCACTTCAGTCGATGCAACGAAGGACAAACGATAAAACGCCAAAGAGGAGGGCAACGTACGACGACCATCGAAACCAGTCGGAAAGTGTGTGACGACGAAAAGTACCTGTCAGTAACTTGGCTCTCTTTTTTTTCTTGACATTTTACCCTTCATCTTTTTCTTTCGGAAGAAGGATCATATCCATTGCCCTCGTCATAAAACTTTATTGCAAGATAAGCCATCCAGTCAGGTAAAAAAAATGCGCGTAAATTGGCCCTCCTGCATTCACTCCCCCTTTTCCACTTCGCTCATGGACTACGCGAGGCTCGAAAGTAGCGTGTGTAAAGGACGCAGGGCCACGACAGATCCACCAGGAGAAATCTAATCAACTAGCGACAATGACCATCATTTTCTGGCCACCGCGATTCGCTTTAACCATAGACTGACCCCACTGCCCTACTCAAGTGAACGCAACGAAAACAGGGATCCGTCCATAATGGTATCGAATCCCTTTCGATAACGTTGTAACAGAGTTGCTGACGACCGCAATAACAGAAAAAGTACAGACAAACGCGAAATTGAGCCGAGGCCATAAGCTACAGCTTACTCAGCACGCTTCGATTCACCTTTGAGCAAACAAGACGGTCAGTTAATTACTTGGCCTTTTGATGGCGTTATAGCACAACATCTGGCAAATCGAAAGAATCCCCCGATGGTATTTGACGTCCGGCGACTAACGTGGCCTGCGCTTGACATAGCGCAACGATGGAACTTCCTCCCCCCGCCCCATTTTCATGTGTGCTATGTTGTACCTGTACAGGCCAACGTCAGAAGCGACCCACTTACACGAATGTCCAACCATTTTTGCGGATCATGCTAATCGAGTTATGACCAGTACATTGGAAGGAGACACATAGAAAAGGTCCAGAATTGGTCATGCTGAAAAGAATTTTTCTCTGCAGAATCACCATGCCTAGCTTCCGTAGAGACTTCCAAAACTAGCATAATGATAGTTGCCATTGCAGACAGGCAGGACTCGTGGGATACATAAAAGATGAGCTGCGCATATCGCTTGCCCTGGAAGGT